ACGTAACGTTAACTTTAACTTTAAAGTTAAAGTTTAGTTAGTAGTAGTATATATATATATATATATATATATATATATATATATATATATAGGTGCGGTTTATATAGACCCTAGGTTCTAAACATTCAAATTATAGACCAAGTGTTGAGAAATGTGGTTTCAATACTGGAAATATGTGTGATACCCTTAAATATATTTTCATATTTAATTACAAAGTTTATAGCTTCAAAAAATAGTGTAGATCGAGAGAACTATGAAAACTTGAAAATCTTGAAAATTTACAGTTCAAAAATTCGTTGCAAAAATATATTATTTTAAAAAATTGAAATCTATTTTTTTCTCATATCCATGCATCTTGATGTCGAGATGATCAATTTGAAGATATTTGGGCATAAAAAATACCTCTTCTAGTGAAATTTTTGAGGTAGGCTCGAATTTGATTGTTTAGAGCTTCGGCTCCATATAAAAAATCCCATAGCTTAAGTGTGTCACAAAGTTCGAGAAAATTTCTTTTGAAATTTGAGCTTGGCCAATAGAATAAATGGATCCATCTAATTTCACATCCACTTGTCAAGATTAATTGTGATTACCTTATATCAAAGAGAAATGGTCTCATTATATATTTGTCCATATAAATTTAAATAAAACAAATGCTCCTAACATAATTTTTTGGAAGATCGTTTCGTTCTATCACAATAAAATTAATACATAAATCACTCCCCATATACATCTCTATCAAATGAAATAACTTCTCCTTTAGAGGGTCCCCCAAGCTTCCTCTTCAAATCCACTACAAACTTGTCCAAATTCGCTTGAGAGGACCCCTCTTCTCCAATAGCTCTTGCTAATACCCCCCTCACCTCCCTAACTCTCTCTCTAAATCCCTCCTCCCCAAAAACCCTCTCCATATTCTCTTTAACCTCCTCTCTCCTCAACTTCCTCATCAAATCCAGTCCCACCCCCCAATCATCCACTATCAACTTCCTATTTGTAAATTGATCAGTCAACAATGGCAGCCCAAGCATAGGCACCTCACACCAAACACTCTCCATTATAGAATTCCAACCACAGTGAGTCAAGAACCCACCAATGGCTCTATGGCTAAGCACCTCTCTCTGTCTACACCAGTGCACCACTAAGCCTTGCCCTCTGGTTCTTTCCTGAAAATCTTTGGGCAAGGGCTCGGGCTCGTCGGAAGAGACGATGTCGGGGCGTAAGACCCACACGAAACTGCGACCACTTAGCATAAGCCCCTCCGCGATCTCTTGGATTTCTTCTTTGCTTATGTGTGCATAGCTTCCGAAGGATATATAGATGACGGAGCGATCGGGATGTGTATCGAGCCATGAAGAGCAGTCGGATTCAGGCCAAAGGCTAGTGGAGATGGAGTTTTCTGTGAATTTCGGGGGCAGAATGGGGCCTACTGCGTAGAACGGGAAGTAGTTGTTGAGGGCCTCTATGGTGTGTAGTTCGAGCTCTTCTACGGTGTTGGAGAGGACCCAGTCGGCTCGTTTGGCACCATTGAAGGCTGCCAAGATGATTTGGTGGACGACAGTCGAGGTGTCGGATACTTGGAGGTAGGAGGGGATGTCTTTGGGGTCAATGGAGGGGATGCCGGGGATGTAGTCGATGGGGTCCTTGCGGTTTTTGCCTGTAGTTTGCAATGGAGAAAGAAAGACACAGGGAGAGAGAATACTAATGTTAAATTTGAAGAAGGGAACAGTTGCAAATTTAGAGTGCAAAAGCCTAATTAGTATTCAAATCTCTCTCTCAATTGAATCTGTGCAACAGTGATTTCATTTTATACTTGAATTTTAATTTTTTTTACAAATTAAAATCTCATGTCTTATGGGTCCACTCTTCTCATCAAGAAGCACCTACTAAAAATATTTAAAAATTAATTTTAAAAAATAAATACACCAAAATACTCCTAAAAGTTTTAGGGATATTTTTGATCTATTTAATTTTTATGAATTAATTTTTTTGATGTTTTTATAAAATTTGCCTATTTTATAAGAATATACATGAAATTTTAAGCGATTTAGATTTGTAAAAAAATAATTAAAATTAAAATATGAAATTTATTTGTGATCGTTGGATTAACTTAGCTTCAATCTAAGATTGATTTTATATGGATGTTATCAAGAGAAATCAAGGTCATGTAGTATCTCCAATATGATCACAATAAAGGGTGGGGTTTGTATAGAGCTGAGGCTCTAAATAATCAAAGTAAAGCACCTTCAAATAGTATTGAGAAATGTGGTTGCAATATTGAAAATCTCTGTGGTAGCCTTAAAATATATTTTTATCTTTAATTATAAAATTTAAAATTTCAAAAATAGTGTAGATCTATGAAACCTTGCAAAATTTGAAAATTGACGATCCAAAAATACGTTACAAGATGCATTATTTCCAAAACTTGAAATTCGTCTTTTTCCTTATGTCCATGCATCTTAATGTCGAGATGACCAATTTGAAGATATTTGAGCATCAAAACAGTCTCTTCTAGTGAACTTTTTGATATGGGATCCAATTTTAAGGTGGCCACTGATTTGATTGTTTAGAGCCTTAACTCCATATACAATTTTCCCGCAATAAATTGAATTGTTTGCCGTAATGTGGCAGCTGCAAAATCCTTTACATACGAAAGATGCTATCATTTTATTATTTTTTAAGGTTACATTTGAAGAAACTTTAACGTTAATTTGAAGTTTTAAAATCAATCATTCAATACATGAAATAGCTCGAAAATCTATCATTTAAATTTTGAATCTTAGAAAGAAATCTAAAACTTACTGTAATCATCTTTTGAATTATACATAGGAAAAAGTTAGATAAATGGTTCATAACTTATATTGTATAATTAAGGTGCACCTAAAAAATCCATTGAAAAAAAAGATTGTTTTGTTGTTGAATTGGGATTGATATTGATAAGTTTTCTAAAAGGAATAGAAATCCAAAATGATTAGGACTCTGGGATATATCTCTTGGTTCTTGAGACGTATGTAATATTTATATGAAGATTCCTATTTGATTTTGGATATGACCCTATCCAACATTAGAAAACCATCCAATTGATTATCTCGACACCGATATTTATGGACGTGAAAAAAAGAAAAAGAAAAAAAAGATTTGAAGTCCAAAAATTACTACATCTTGCAACACATTATTGGGACCCTCAATTTCCAAACTTTTCATGCATTTATATATTTGCATGATTTGAACAATTGGAGTTTAAAAAATTATAATTAGAGATGAAAATAGACTCTTGGCCATCCTAAAAATTTAAGTACTAAAATTGCATCTTAGGTAAAGTTTGAAAGTACCTTGTTTTTATTGTTTAAGGTTGCAACCTTATCCAAAATATACCCATATATAAATAGGGTTGGATTTTGAAGAACATGCCTTGATAAGAAACCAACCAAACATCCGTGACTGTTAGATTTGAAATTGGGTTGTTGAAGATGTATCATTGTTTGAGCACAAAGTATGAAATAAAATTTCTCGAATGCTGTGGCACACTTTCAACTATTGGATTTCACATTTAATAGCTAAAAGTGATTGTGTCCTCCTTCTAAATAAAAGGTTGCAACTTTATATTATTAAAATAAGGTATATCTCAAAGATCCTTTGGAAGATAGTCTTATAAGGTCGACTTTGAGATGTGTCGATATGATAAGAAAAAAAAATTTAAGTCCTAAAAACAATCCATCTTGTAACCAGTTATCTAAATTGTCTATTTTCAAGACTTTTTAGTTTTTATAGATGTGCTCAATTTATACTATTTTTTAAGTTTTAATTTCATAATCAGAGAGAAAAATAGATTTTTAAGCTAGTTTCTGAACTACATCTCCAAGCTCTACCAAAGGCACCTTATACATATTTCACCCTTTACCCTAAATATGTTTTTCTTTTCATTAAACCTAGGGTACTTTATAATCCAATATATGACCAAATTACCCCCATCCAATGAAAATGAAGAGTAAAAAAAATCCCTCACTCCTGTGGCCTTTTTGAGGGTCATTTGTCCTTTGGCTGTGGCTGTTGTCAAGGATTTTTATTTCGAGTTTAATGAGGGAATTTTGGTTATAATTTTTGCTCTAATTTTGGCTTTAATGAAAATAAAAGCATATATTCAGTGTAACAGATGTGAGGGACTTTCCAATGGGGGACCTACAACGAGTTAATTATATTTGGGATATTCTGATTCTTTTTTAAATTCAATAAAGGTTGATTGATCGTATATTTTATTATAAGATCATTGCTCATAATTATATTAGTCATAGTCTTATTTCCTGTTTGATCCTTATGAATTTTATATTCAAACTTGAGACTGGATCTATTTATTAAAAAAATCGCTTTCTATACGGTATATATATTCAATGTAATAGCTGTGAGGGACTTTCCAATGGGGGCACTACAGCGAGTCAATTATATTCGGGAGAATTCATTAACTTTCTTTCCTAAAACTAATTTCAAAAAAGGCTATCGATGAAGCACAAACCAATAGAGAAATCTCAATATTTTTCTCTCTCTAACCATGATAATTAGTGTAAAAAACTGTGACTCAGACGGAGTAATTGGTCCTAGCTCGAGCTGATTATTTGGATGAGTCCAAGTAATTCGATCCGATTAGTGCTTACTACTGTAACAGTAAAAAAATTTAAAAAAAGAAGAAAAGAAAATATATTTAAAATAAAATTAAGTAAAGCATTTCAAAATGATGTTAACAAATTAGTAAAATAATAGATTTTCAAAACTTTACGGGGTATTTTCGAAATAATTAAAAAATGTTGAAAAATATAAAAATAAGTATTAATGGCCAAAGCACTCTTAAATCCCAAACAAATTCTTATTTTTTAAGTTTTTTTTAATATTCCCAAATTGAATACCTAACTCGAGACAGCTCGGGCAAGGGCCCAAGCCTGAGCAATTGTAGAAACTACTCGGCCAATTATTCAATCACTGACAATAACTATTTTAACCTAATAAAACTGCGAAATTATTTCACACAAACACATGGTCAAAAACTTATGGCAAACCACTCCAAATCAAATCAATGATAGTCCAACCATCACATTTGATCCATCAAAAACCTCTACAGATAAAAAACTTGCAGAAAAACAAGCAATTGCAAATTAAAATTATCAGTCCCATTATCTCAGTAGATCCAAGAAGAATATGAGAATGAATGCTTACCCTCTGAATCGAAATGACCATGTTGTCTAAGGAGGTGGGCGTGATGGTAGAGTGAGAAAACAAGTGCTGGTTCTGTCCAGAATGAGATATGGGGGACTCCAAACTTCTCAGCCATGGGAGCCACCCAAACGAAGAAGGTGTCGGCGATGATACACGAGATCGGGGGTCCGTCGAGGGCGACCTCTCTGATAATCTTCTCGACATGTGCCGAGAAGACATGGAGGAGAGAGAACATGAATTGGTTATGGTTGAGAGACCTGTCAAATTCAAGGGGGAGTCCATCACTCACTACTCTGTATCTGATATCGAGTCCGGCCTCTCGAGCACCGAAAAAAATGTCGTCGGTCGAATTGCTGCAGTCGATCGAGTCGTTGAGGGTCTTAGAGAGGGAATTGTTATAAGCTTTGACGGTTTGGGCGTGGACGGCCTCAGTGTTGACAAAGGTGATGGTTAGGCCCTTAGATGCAAGCTTCAGGGCCAGTTGAACGGAGGGGATTATGTGGCCTTGCAGAGGGTAAGGGAAGAAGATAGCATGGATGGGGTGTGCCATCTCTCTCTCTCTCTCTCCTCAAACGTCTCTATCTCTCTTTTGATTGTCTCCCCTCAAACCTCTCTCTCTATCTTTATCTCCTCTTTGATTCTCTCTCCTCAAACCTCTCTCTTTGATTCTCTCTCCTCAAACCTCTCTCTTTGATTCTCTCTCCTCCTCTCTCTTTGATTCTCTCTCCTCAAACCTCTCTCTATCTCTCTCTTCTCTCTCTTTGATTGTCTCCCCTCAAACCTCTCTCTCTTCTCTTTGATTCTCTCTCCTCAAACCTCTCTCTCTTGGATTCTCTCTCCTCAAACCTCTCTGTATCTCTTTCTTCCCTCTTCGATTCTCTCTCTTCAAACCTCTCTCTCCTCAATCTTATCTAACTTTGATTGTTTCTCTCTCAACCCACTTCTCTCTCCTGAATCTTCTCCAACTTTGATAGTTTCTCCCTTTTACAGGAAAATCAGGATCTATTGATTCTTTCTAAAAGGGCATGGTATTCAATCGATTATATATTATAGTATTAGGGTGATATAGGTGTCAATGGAATCCGCTAGATGAACAATTGAAATCAGCCTCAATTTCACTAATTTTCCGTTCGAGATTTCAATGACGTCGATTTTGGAAGGTCAGAGCGTCGCCTTCAGGGTTTTGTACGTTATAAATGAAAATGACGTCAATATATATTTACTAATTGGTGCGGTTTGTATACTCCAAGTCCAAACAATCAAATTAGAACCTACCTTCAATTGAGAAATACGGTTTCAAAATTGGAAATTTTTATGACAGCCTTAAAATATATTTTTATCTTTATTTATAAAATTTAATGCTTCAAAAATAGTGTAGATTGATCGATTTATGAAAACTTCGAAATCATGAACCTTGATGGTCCAAAAATATATTACAAAATACATTATTTCCAGAACTTGAAATCCATTTTTTCTCATGGACATGCATCTTGATGTCGAGATGATCACTTTGAAGATAATTGGGCATCAAAATAACCTCTTTTAATGAAATTTTTGAGGTAGGCTCTAATTTGATTGTTTAGAGCCTCGGCTCTATATAAACTATTTCCATTCCTAATTGATAGGTGCTCAGATAATCGAAATGGAAAAAATCTTGATGTCGAGATGATCACTTTGAGGATAATTGGGCATCAAAACAATCTCTTTTAATGAAGTTTTTGAGGTAGGCTCTAATTTGATTGTTTAGAGCCTCGGCTCTATATAAACTATTTCCTTTCCTAATTGATAGGTGCTCATATAATCCAAATGGAAAAATTTTATATAGAGTCGAGGCTCTAAACAATCAAATTAGAGCCCACCTCAAAAAATTCACTAGAAGAGGTTGTTTTGATGCCCAAATATTCTCAAATTGATCATCTAGACATCAAAATGCATGGATATGAGGAAAAAATGGATTTCACGTTTTGAAAATAGTGAATCTTGTAATGCATTTTTGGACCGTTAATTTTCAAGATTTTCAAATTTTTATAGATCTGCTAGTTCTACACTATTTTTAAGCTTTAAATTTTATTATTAAAGATGAAAATATATTTTAAGGCCATCACAAAAATTTTCAGTATTGAAACTACATTTCTTGGCACTATTTGAAGGTGGGCTTTACTTTGATTATTTAGAGCCTCGGCTATACCCAAACTGCACTGATACTTGAGTTTTGTTTATGATATATTGAATTTTGGCCCAATTGTAATTGGAAAACGTTTCCATAAGGGTGACGTCCTAAAGAAACAAATTAAGGTGAACTTCAAATATTTTCTAGAAGGGGTTGTTTCGATGCTAAAAAAACTCTCAATCCGATCATCTAGGCCTCAAGATGTATGGACATGAGGAAAAATAAATCTCAAGTATACGAAACAATGCATATTATAATGTATTATCTAAACTGTCACTTTGTAAGATTTTTAAGTGTTCATAGATCTGCTCGATCTACACTATTTTTTAATCTTTAATTTTATAATTAAACATGAAAATAAATTTTCAGGTTATCACAAAGATTTCTGATACTAAAGCAATATATTTCGGTCTTATTTGAAGGTGTGTCTTACTTTGTTTAGAGTTTCGGCCTCATACAAACGACACCCATTATAGCTTCTGCCCGTTTGGAATGTTCTCATACGATTTGAAATTTTGCATGGATTCCGAGTTTGCAATTAGTCTTCCAAAAATGGATGATTGAAATGGAAAATGAAACTTGTCCTTGTTAACAAAACTACTTTTTTTTTTAAACATTAAGAGTAATATCATTAAATAGTGGAGCAAACTTCCTAAATACAATAGTACAAGACTAAGAGCTGGGAGGGGCACTCCCTAGATCCAAGACTGACCTATCCTAACTCCTGGAACACAATAATCACAAAAACCTCACCAATCCTACACCAAAACTATCTAAGCACCCAACTAATCCAAACAATAACTCACAAGAGCCTCATCTTCTCATAACATCACTTCCAAACTCCAACTTCCAACAAGTAGCACTGAGGGAGCACCTTCCTTTCAACGATCTCCTCATAGACGAGGTTGGGGCAACCAACAACCTACACCAGTCCATAGCTGGGGTGCCGACACTGCAACCACGACCCAATAACAGAACAAAAGGTGGCAAAGAGGGAAAAGAGTAGAAAAGGAGGCCAAAGAAGAAAAAGGTTGGAGTAAGAATAGGTGTGTTAACGGGTCGGGTATGAAACCCTGTTTGTGAGGTGATTTTAGCATCGTCACCCATATTGGACGACTCCCAAGCTGTTAATGACTCAAGGAGGTCCGTTTGTTTGGATGACAAGATAAGGCGAGTTGTGCCTAGGATTAAATCCTGTAAAGTTGGCAGTGGAGGAAGGGGCCTGAGAAATTCTTCCTCAACTGGTGCCTGAGGAAGACGATTCCTTCAGCGAGCGGACCAAGGTGCTCATCTCCTTCTGGATCCCTGAGGGGGTGTTTGGTCTGCCCTGTCTGCTAATGTGTAGTCCTAGCTTGGTGGTCTGCCTCACGCTTTAGGGATTTGAGTCTACTTCATCCATGGTAGACTTCCAAGGGCTGAGAAGTTGAGGGCTCTGAAGAGTCCAGTGTATGCTCATAAGGGACCTGTAGTGGGATTTCCTCTTGGACGGGAGTGACGACTTGGAAGCGCTCTACGAGAACGGCGCAAACGATGCGGCCTTCCTGTACCTTCCGAGTGACTATAGCTTCGAACTCAGAGCAATCTTTCAGCTCGTGGCCCCATACTTGGTGACATGGGTACCCGAGGCTTTCTATTCCTTGGGCAAGATGCCTCGGCTACCTGGTGGGCTTGGGAGTGACGAGACCCTGTTGGAGCATCGCCTCGAAGAGGGCCTACAGGGGGTCTAGCTCAATGCTTCTCGGGGCTTACGTTGAGAGTTCTTCTTGCACTGGTGGAAGATGGACTTGAGGGTGTCCTTCTGAGTTACCATGAGCTTCCTGGCATTGCTGCATCTTCTTTGCCAAGAGCTCATGGAAGCTAGTGCATTCGCTCATGTCATGGCCTCGTATCGGGTGATACGAGCACCAGAGGTTCTCAGTTCCTGGAGGCAGGAACTTGGGCTGCCTTGTTGGCTTTGGCGTGACCTATCCCTCTTCGAGCATTATGGAAAATAATGCACAGAGGATAGCGAGTGTGCCCTCATCCTCTTGGGCTGTCACTATGTGAGAAGCCTCAGTTTCCCTGAACGCTTTCTTTAACTCTTCGAGCTTTATCTGACCCTTGTTAACAAGGGCCTCGATAGTGTCTTTGAGCTTATAGCAGTCCTTAGTGGGGTGGCCTACTTTTCTGTGATAGGCACAATACCTCTCGTGTGTCTCCTGTCCAGCTTGTTATGGAATGTTGACCTCCGGTGGATGGATCATGTTTTGCTCCAGTAGTAGTTGAAGCAGTGCAGGAACACACTCCTTATCAACGGAGTACACCTTATTCTGGTGCTGGATCCAGAAGTCATTTCGATTTATATTTTTAGGGGGCAACACCTTATTGTAAGACTGTTGCTTTCCCTCGGCTTGAGGCGTCTGGGCCTTGGAGAGGTCCAAGGTTTGAGGGGCGGCTTTGTTAGTGTCAGTCACGGTGACGGCCGCACTGATCATCGCTTTTTGCTGGTTGCCCCGACTGCTGAAGCGAGAATTCGAGCCGGAGGGTTACTGACGAGATCTGCCATGGTGCTTAGACGGACCCTCAATATGAACTGGTTTGGAGATGAGCTTTGACATGGAAGGTGGATTGGAGGCCCCGACATGCAGGGCAAGCTCGGGAAGCATATTTATTATGCAAGTTTGGACAACTTCTTTTTCAACCATGGCAGTAGCATGGAAGGTTGCCAACTCTCTCCATCGGGCTATGAACTTGTCAACCAGCTCACCAGGGTCTTGAGTCAAGGTAAGGAGCTCAATGGTTTCCACGTTCCTTTGGACTTTGTAGAATCGTTGGTAAAACAACTGCTCCATTTCCTGCCATGTGTGCACTGCGTTTGGAGGCAATCGAGCATACTACTGGAAGACTGACCCATCGAGGGTCTCCACCAACTAACGGAGGAGGAGGCGCCCATCAGTTGTCATCTCTCGACAAGCTTCTTGGAAGTGAGCAGTATGTTAGTGTGGGGATGAAGTGCCTTTAAACAAGGGGAGCTTCCCTTTTTGGTAATTCGGGGGAAACGACACTTGGTCGATGTATGAGGGGTACAACTTTTGGTAAAGAGGTGCCTCTTGCATGCTCGAGACCTTGTTCTTCAGGCTATGGGCCACCATGGCATCTATGTCGAACCTCACTCTAGAACCAAGTCTTTTGCTTGAACTGCCCCATTTTTCTTGAGCAGGAGAGGGACATGTCAATTACCTGGAGCAAAGAATGGGGTCCGGATAGAGAGCAACTTGGGTCGTTACTTTGGAGGCTACAGCTCCTATCTGACATCAGGCCATTACCTCGAATTCCCTTGTGAGGCTCGGGTGCATGCTTGACTTGGGGCGACTGAATCAAGATGGTACTCTTAGGGAACACCTTTGACTACCAGGTCTCGAGATGCTTGCGTGGTGAAGGAGGGATGATAGAAGAAGAGTTGGTTCA